CTTCCTTCCTTCCTTCCTTCCTTCCTTCCTTCCTTCCTTCCTTCCTTCCTTCCTCTTTCACGTTCTGTGATGAAACCCTGGGAACCAGATGAGTTGTGTCATTGCAGGCAGCTGGGAAATTGCAGGGCACTGAACTTTGGGCAGAAAAAACACCAGTCTTGTTAATCTTCTTCTGTCTCTTGGGAGATGGGTCAGAGGGAAGCAGTAAAAAAAAAAACACCTCAGGTTAGTAAGGATGGGTTGGAAACTAGGCAGTCAAGTTTTATTCCTAATACAGGGCCCAAAGCTTTTTGACATAGTTGGTTTCTTTGTTTAAATCTTTGACACCTTGCTTTTCAGTCTGAAAGGCTCCCCAAACAGCTTATGGGATAATAAAAACTAGACAATCCCTGCCCTCAAGCTTATGGAGCAAAAGAAAGGGGGTTGGGGAGGGAAAAGGACAGGAAAACAAAGCAAGAGTTATTGCTGTTGGGGAGGGGGGTCTCATAAAAGCTAGCCAGGGTGGAAGGGGGCTTAATCCTGCTCATCCAGAGCACAGGGTCTTGTTCCCTTCCCTTCCACAGCAGTTGAGCCCAATGGCCTGTCCTCCTATGAGAAGGGTTTCCCATCCCTTAGCTGGGAGCACCAGAGATTCTCAAACTGATTTTAAATCTATCCCCTTCATTTTACAAGTGAGTCATTGCAGAGCTAGGCTCACTTCCGGTCGACAATTTGGTTCTTTTCCCGTAAAGTTCGCTCTGATGTTAGGCAGCATACTGGAGGAATTCTCTGGCCCCTCCAAATGTGATCAGAACTTCTGCATGCAGTATTGCACAACAAGTGACAAACTGGGGGCAACAACAACAACAACAACAACAAAAATCCAAGGAGAAGGGAAATGATAGGCTTAATTTCTTAGACTGATATTCTGGCTTTCTTCAAGACAGTGTACACTATGCTTCATTCTTCCATTTTTTCCCCACAACAGCAACCCTTTGGGGTAGGTGGGGCTGAGAGAGAGGGACTGGCCAAAAATCACCCAGTGAACTTCCATGGCCGAAGGTGGACATGAACCTGGGTCTTCCCACTTCTAGTCCAACACCTTCATCACTACATCATGCTGGCTCTCTGTGTGCGGTTGAAGTTGGCCTTTATTCTTTGGCCCAACCCATTCCGGATTGGATGAGTCCCTCAGGAGCACTATTAATATAATATATAAAATATAAATGTACAGACAAATAGGAATGGGATAAGGAATAAAAGAATGAGGTATAGGATAAAGTAAATATGTAAATTCCCAAAGCACTTTATATTGCATAAAGATGAGTTTCTTACTTTTACTTCAGAAAGCATTGTGGAGATTTCTTATTTCTAAAATAATAATTCACAAACACTTGAATATATTCTAGATAGAAACCCCTAATATACCCTAATATAATATATGTAATAATACTAACCAGGAATGGAAAACTTGGTTTTTTTCTTAAAACTGTAGTGCAAAATCCACAACGGGGCCAGAAGATGACATCTCAGTTTCATATATTGATTACCTCTAGAATTCAGGTCATATTCACAGGACTAAATAAGACTCCCTTGAGCTGTCATGGACTTCCTATGTCTAATCAGAAGCAGGACCTGTTGATTTAGTGAGTCTTACTCCCAAGCCAATGGGTGTAGGATTTCAATCTTAAAAAAAAATAGGAATTACTTCTCTTATTACAAACCAAATTAAAGCAGCAGCTTTGCAAAATATAATTAATCCTTATTAATGAAATTCTGCTTTATTATAGAATGATTCTTGTGGATTGTTACTATTGAATGCCTGTTGTATTGGGTGTTTCCTTTCCAAATTGGAGGGGGGGAAATCTATTAAGTCAAGAGGAGGAAATAAATCTATTAAAGTCAAGAGTCAATTTGATTTATTCACTTAGACTGTTCCAAGATATAATAGTGACTTTCTACTAGTTCCTTTTTAAATCAATAAATTTTCTACAGGTGTTAACCATGTTTCTCCTTGACAGTACAATAAAAGCAAAATTATACAGCTTTTCCTCCTCGTTCCTATATATAGCATAAGCTAAGCAAACTTTCCCTGTAGTCAGTGTAAAAAACTTCACATTTTCAACCACAGAACCCCATAGTATAAATTTTGAGAAAAGGTCAGTCAGAGAAATGCAGAAATGGCAGTAGGAATAAACATATAAAGTTGAACCAGACCTTTGACCATCTATCTCAGGAGTAACATGTTCACCAGACTTTCCCAATCCTTTCCCTTTGGGTGTTTCATACTTCAGGTTTTATAATCCCCATGCCACATGACCAAAAGATTAGGCCAAAGGCCACGATGGCAAAAATAATACAAACAGAAGCCCAAGGAATATGACTGCCTTCTAGTTACGGAGGACTGGAATAGGACTCTTCCTATCTGGGGATGCCATACAAAGCAAAAGTTCTATCTCTGAGTTGATGCCTCTCCTTCTCTTTCTTGCTTCTAATAAAATGTAGGGGGATCATATTGGGCTTATTCCCTGCATGTGTACTTAGCTACCAAGCTCAGGGACCTCAGTTCTATCCCCTGATCAGCTGGAGGGCCACAGGAAGCTTTCTAGTAAAATGGTAATAGCACCAAAATAGCAAAATAGCAAAACCTGAAGGAAGGGGAAGGAGGTATTCTCTTCCAGTTTTTAAGGGTGGGAATAATAGGGAGGCCAACCACCTCTAATTCCTGCTTTTTTTGATTGCCAGAGCTCACAGTCTTTCAGTGGAGTGATTTGGGCTATTTTGAAGGTAGAGGCAGGGATTTCAAGGGTGTAAATGGTGTTTCCCAGAGAAGCAACTTTAACATTAATCCTGTTCCCTGTCTTATTTTTGAAAAAAAAGAGCACTGTCAAAAAATGGACATTTCATCATCAAATTTCTGTGTAGAATCTTGGGGCACTGGGGGAGCAGAAATAGAGCACTGGGTCTTGCATGCAGCTCATAGGTTGTAGGCCACCCATTCCTTACTTAGAGCAAAATAATTTGCCATTTTTTAATTTATTAGTCAATCTTATATGCAACCAAATCATAATTGACTCACACTGATGTATAAAATACAGTAACAGTATAAAATGCATACATTACTTAATATACTCCAGCTTTAGATGGTGCATGCCAAGAGAAACAGCCCATCTATTTAAGGAAGGCTATTTCAAAATATGGAAACAAAAGGTGGACTTTGAAGAAGCAGGGTAGAAAAAGTATTGACACTTTTGAACCTGGGTAATGGAGAAGACTCCTGAGAATACCATGGACAGCCAAAAAAACAAACCACTGGATCATCAAACAAATCAACCCAGAGTTCTCACTCAAGGCACAAGTGGCCAGGCTCCAATTATCCTACTTCAGGCACCTTATGTGAGGACCTAGCTTTCTGGAGAAGACTTTAATCCTGGGAAAGGTAGAAGGAAAGAGAAGAAGAGGATGACCAGCAGCAAGATGGATGGACTCAGCAACAGTGGTGATGGGTGCATCATTGGAAGACCTGAAGGACCAGGTTAGAGACAGATCATCATGGAGAAAATCTATCTATGTGGTCACTAAGAGTTGACACCAACTTGATGGCACATAATCAATCAGTTCCATAGTACTGGGAAAAGAGTGTTTCTTGGCGTTAGCACCACCACCATCAGCCCCATTGCCTCATGGAACTGCAGCTTCTCCTGGTAGGATCTCCATGAACAGGTTGACTCTAGTTAGAGTGGGCAGTCCTGAAAGTACCTGGGTGTCAAGGGTTTTGTAAGTCAAAACCAGCACTTTGAATTGCATCTGGAAATCAATTAATAGCCAATGCATAGCTTCAAGATAGATGTAATATAATCATAGAAACTAGTGCCAGTCAGAACAAAGGCTGCTCTGTTTTGGACCAACTGTAATTTCAAATGGTTTTGGAAAGCAGCCTCAAGAAAAGAATCACTGCAGAAGTGGTGATAAGGCAATGTAGCCATGTCCTCCAAAAGAGCCACAATTGGTGCATCAGCAAAAGCTGGACAAATGACCTCCTAGCCACAGCCTTCACCTGCCTGTCAAGCAGTAGCCATGAATTTAGAAGGACCCCAAGTCTGCTCCTTCAAAGGCAGGGCCACCCAGCCAGGAGACAATACTGGAGCTACCAAGAATTGCAATGAGCAGTTACTCCATTTTGTTAGGATTTAGTTTCAGCCTGTTTTGTCCCCAGCTGCTTCCAGATAGATTACTTTCTTAATGACACCTAATGAGGTTAGAACAATGGCTGAGTTATGCCAAGATTTCTAGAACTTTTCAGCAAATTTTAACACTTCTTGTGTAGTTGATTTAACACAGCCCCTCCAACCACTACAATGCCTCTCAAAATGAAAGCAATTGCTTTCAAGCGTGGTAGCATTAAAACCATACCAGTTATAATTACAATCATGAGTGTTCAGAGTAATCCAGCAATAAATGATGGATCCCATCCACTCAAGGGATCAGTTACATTTAATCAGAGTAAATGTGCTAAATACAAATAAATAAATAAACAACCATCCACTTCCCCTGCTTCCAGACTCAGTGCTCCCTTTGCTCAGTGCTTCCTTTGCTCAAACTCATAA